GTATCACACTAGCAAATCCCCTCTCTCTTTGCCAGGGCCGGCTCTAGGATTTTTTGCCGCCCCAAGCGAAAACAATTTTTGGCCGCCCCCCCGACCCCCATTTTTTTCTTACCCCACCCCCGGCCCCGCCTCAACTCCACCCCTTCCCCAAATCCCCAGCCCTGCCGCCTCCCCCCAGGCTCTCAAGCCTAGGAGGGAGGGAGGGAGAGGGAGAAGCAGCGCGTGCGCCACGGCCACTCAGGGTCTCCCCCTCCCTCCCAGGCTCTCAAACCCAGGAGGGAGGGGGAGATCCTGAGCAGCCACGGCGCACGAATCTGCTGTTTCGCGCGCCACAGCCGCTCGGGATCTCCCCCTCCCTCCCGGGTTTGAGAGCCTGGGAGGGAGGGCGAGCAGCAGCGCGCGAGCGGCAGCAGCGGAGGTGAGTTAGGGCGGCCGGGGCACATTTTTAGGGGCGGCATGGCCCGCGCCAGAATGCCGCCCCTAAAAATGTGCCACCCCAAGCACCAGCTTGTTTTGCTGGTGCCTAGAGCCGGCCCTGCTCTTTGCAAATGCTCCCTCTCACTCTCTAAATGTTTGGGCACTATTATACTGCCCAGGGTTGTAAACATATCCCTGACCCTTATGGTGCAAGTGTGCAGCACAGCAGGCACCTGAGAGGTCTTTGTGCCTACACAGGAAGACTGTGACTGATTTATCTAATTTTATTATATAGACACACAACGGGCAAATCCTTCCCACCCACACCCTACGGCCACATACCAAAAGGCAAGTTCACAGATGGGCATAATGGGAAGCCCACTCTGGCGACGTATGCACCTTGGGGCCCCGTCCATGGTAGCCCAGTCGGGTGTTTTACAAATTCATGTGCCAGCCCCTCCCTCCTCCTTGCAGAGTGAATCCACACTAGTAACACCAGCTACTGCATAGCTGCATAACGCTCTTTATTTGAGATCGGTGTAGGGGCAAGGATTTGGCCCACAGGAAATGGTGCTAGCACATGCATCGGTCTCAGGTGAGCATTTAGCAGTTTGGGTTTTATTTTGAATCCATTGCTATGCTCAATGAGACAACACCCCACCAATACTTAAAAATTACATTTCCATTTTGAACCCCGGCTGCCTGAGAATACAATGCTTCTCAGTGCTGATGTAAAATGACTGGCTGTTGGGAATGAGTGGGACCCATGGAGGTTATCAGCCTTGCAGAAACATCACCTAAACTGCTGACCTTTGGCATATCATCTCAATCACTTCTTATGTCTTGTTAGCTTGCTCCTGTCAGCCTATGGGATCGGCCAATGCAACCTTCAGCAGAAGCTGGCGGTGCCACCCAAAGACGGGGTTCTGTTACTGCAAGCCAGGTGTGGCAGGCCCGAACTGTGACAGATGCCTTATGGGATACTGGGGCCTTGGAGAAAATGGCTGTCGTCCTTGTGACTGTGCCAGAGACTGCGACCCGCACACTGGAAACTGTTTCAATGGGTAAACAAGGCCTCTTTTATGGGAAGATAATCCTTTGAGTCACTTTTTGCCCTTTAATATGAAACTCAGATTAACACTTGGAATCCTGCACAGATGGCATAAATTCAAGGAAGTGGGGGGAGGTATTAGGGGAAACAAGACCAGGGCCGGCTCTACTGTTTTTGCCGCCCCAAGCAGCGCGCCGAATTGCCGCCGTGGACGGCGGGAGCAGTCCCTGTGCCGTTAGGGCGGCACGCGCGTTTCCTCAGCGGTAGCTTCTGTCTTCAGCCGGAAGACAGAAGCCGCCGAATTGCCACCGCGGGCAGCTGAACATAGAAGCTGCCGCCGAATTGCCGCCACCGCGGAAACGCGCGTGCCGCCCTAATGGCACACAGACTGCCCCCGCCGTCCACGGTGGCAATTGGGCGCGCTGCTTGGGGCAGCAAAAACACACAGACTGCCGCCCCTTGCAGATTGCCACCCCAAGCACCTGCTTGGAATGCTGGTGCCTGGAGCCGGCCCTGAACAAGACAGTTGTCTGCATCCACCTGAATTTGAATGGATTGCAGCACTGGGTCATTCAGATGCCATTTGACTGCCTGCATGTAAGTACGTCCATAATACTCTTTAAAAACAGTTCTGAAGCAAAGGTCTTTTCTAGTTATAATAGGTAACTCCATGACCCTGCTGGTGTCTGTGAAACTACTGTTTGCTTTAGAAAAAGTAAATGAAAGCATCTGAAGAGTTGCTGTGCTCCATGGCCTAGGTGAAACAAGTTGGAGAGTCTCACTCCAATTCCTAGTGTGCAAATGTTCTTATTACATAAAACACACACACACACACACACGTGACTAATTGGTGACAGTCTGAGCAAAGGCCAAGCCTGAGTGGCCCACAGAGTCTGAAGTACTCTTCCATCCATAGATCACTGGTGGTGTGAGGAAGCCTGCACAGATGCTACCAGTGCAGGTCATTTTCTAAAGATAACTGCAGGACCTCAGTCCCAGGGACCATCAGTCTGGTACCTTTCACCAGCACAAATATGGTGTTCCAAATCCTGTGAAGTGCTCGGTACCTACAGCTCCCATTTATTTCAATGGGCCCAATCCTCTGAGTGCCCTCAATTCCTAACAACATCATTGGGTGCTCAACAACGGGCAGGTTTGGCCCAGTAATTGTTAAAAAAAAAAAAAAAAGGGAAAGTGTGAATCAGTGAAGTTGAAGTATAAGCCCAGATACTGCGGTCTATCTACAGAGCAGTGAGCTAGGGTTTTGCTCTTATTTGCATTCAAGACTAGATGTGTGATTAAGTTTGCTCAGCATGACCTTTGAGGCCATGTTCCTTTCTGGCACTGAATGCTGCTGGCATGTGGTAGTAGCTTCCTCCCTGCTAAACATCAGAAATCCTAACATGAGATTTTTCTTCTCTGTCTATCTCCTCCCTAGTTATGACAATGAGCCATTTTTCAACATCCCCATGGGTGGGCGAATCCCTGACCTCCTACAAACGCCAGCCAATGAAAGCGATGAGTGGAAATGGAATGATCATGAGCAGGGATTTTCTGCTTTGAGACATCCAGGTATGGTTTAGCGTTCTAAAATCCATCACTCCGTGTTTATTAAATAAATAAATAAATAAATAATTCTTATAGAATGCCAGAAATATGCACGGCTTTTGACCAAATACGTATGTTTATTTTATTTATGATTTGTTTCTTCACATTTCTAAAATGTAGGTGTCCATCTAGTGTTCTGGGTGTCTATCTCAGACCTTAAAAATCACAACATAAACAAAGGACTGCCTATGAAATATAAGTCTTCCCTCCACTTGAGCGAAGAGAGTAAAAAGATCGCTAAGGTAGACTGCAAACTCTCTGGGACGGATAACCTAACACAAGACAATACACAGGACAGCAGCTCAGGAGAGGGTGAAGGAAGGGAAGAATGAGGCTGTTGCATCAGCCTGTGTTTTCCAGAGTCCCACTGCTGTGCAGCCTTACTGCACTCTTCAGAAACTTTCAGCCACAATATAGCTGACCCACATATAGCTGTCCAGTCTGATCCTTTGCATCTTTGTAGAACTATTCCCTGCACCATTTCCCCTGGTATCCTACCCAAACTGCTCCTGCATATTTGCAGATGTCAAAGTATGAGGGTGTCACCATAAGTTATTCAAATGTGGAGGCAAATGTGAGCATCCCAGGAATAGGTCTGAGACTTCTCGGCACACCGTTCTGATTATTTGGCAAGACACTCCAGGATGAGTTCAAGGAGAGATCTGAACTGTGCTGGGTATTGTTGGTTTTGCACTGTATTTTCCAGTGCAGGTTGAACTATCCAACTTTGGCTTTGTGGTCAAGAAATGAAAAAGTCATAATTTAAATAAAATCTCTATGAAAAATGCGCTTCCCATTTGTATCATTCATTGATTTACATAGCACCCTTTGAAAGCTTTCAATCACTTTGTAGAACTACAAATGCTGATCATTTGACTCATTACTGAAGGGCAGTCACCTCTGGAATGGAATGTAGGTGCTTTTAAGAACAGCACATGGTCACACTATGGAACAATTCAGGACAGGCAGTAAAGAAGCATATTGTATTCAGCTAAAGTAAGAGAGAAATTAGTCCAACAGAATATAGTGGAACCTTTAATGCCTAAAAGTGGTCAAGACCTCAGTTTTACATAGCATATGACAGACAGCACCAGTTAGTTCATCGCTGTTTCTATACTGACTCAGAGGAAAATGTGCCTCCTGTTGAATCCCCAACATGTCCTGAAGCACCAGGGATTTTCCTTAGAGGACTTCCATGTAAGTACTGATAAAGCTTAATATTGCTTATCTGATGACATCTAACAAGAGCCTTATTTATATTATATTATTCACACCTGGATCTGATTCTGATTTATCTTTTGTTAGCATCAGTTTATTAACTGTGTAATGGACCCAGTGCAGACCGCTTTTTACTTCACAATGCAGACCAGATTTCAGAACCATTTTTGTATTGTTTAACAAGAACCAGCTTTGCAAATAACTGAGCTCACTCTGAAATCTTCTTTAACCATCTATGTTTATTCAGATAATTGGAGCAACTTTTAGACATAGATGTGTATGAGTATATATGAATGAACATCATTTGATTTTCTTTTCTCTTTCATGTTCTGGCCCTTCTCCAACCCCTTGTGGTCTCCGGTTCCTGTACTAGAAAAGTGTGTGTGCAAAGAGAAAGTGCTCGGAAGTGTCACTGATTTCTGCCAGATGAAATATGCATATGGTAAGTGGCTGATGTGCCTTCATGGTATGATCATTCCAGTATTTTCGTAGCTGGTACCTGTGAAATCATAGATTTCTTCCTTTTTTGTCTAGTGATACCTCCCAGTCCTGGGAAGAGTTGATCAGAGGACAGCATACTTCCCGTAATGATTTCTTCAATGCCAAGCAAACCAACATGGCCTTCATGAGCTCAGGCACACGCTTACACCTATCTGAGCATGTGCTGTAGACAAGCAGTCCATGCCAGGACTCCTTTTTCCTCTGGTGCTCCTCTTCTGTCTACATAGCACCTCCCTCCCATTTAGCAATAGAGGAAGGGCAGGGTGGTCAGGATCCCCTGACACCTGCCTAATACTCCCATCACCCTGAGGTTCAGAACCCATTCTATAGGTCTTGCAGTAGGATTGCCACCCTTTTGCAGTTTGCCCTGCAGGATAAACTTGCTGTGTCTGTTTGTCAACACCTTATTTATCACCCTGGCGAATAAGCAACTATGTCATCGCTCTGTGAAGGGTCACGGCCACCAAAAAACACCACGTTTTGACTCGACACAATCACATTGTGATGAACAAAGCCTATTTGTGGGATTAGCCTGCTGAAAGTTGGATGATCTTGCAAAATCAGGAGTGGCAACCCTGTCAGGGCACAAATCAAAGTAGCTTTTTTCCAGCTTATCATTATCATCTTAGAATTCTAGTCATGTGGCATTCCTGCACTCCAGTAGGAAATTTCCTGCCCGACAGGGGGAATTCCATTGCTTAACACTGAATTTTTGTACAGCGGGCAGGAGGAATTTTAAAGGCTCAGGATTGTAGTTATGTAAATCTAATGCAGGCCTTCCAATGTCCAAACTAAAACCTGCCAAGGCTCTGAGTCAGTGTGCTTAAGATCATACTGTTGGCTGCTGTTCTTTCTTTGTTTTTGTTTTTTATGGCATTCCTATTATCACGGGTTCCACTCACCACAGTGGCGCCTTCTGCTGGCCATCCTGGGGATTATCTCTGCCAGTTGGTGTGCCCTCTTCTGGAGGTACCTCTCCTGTCATTATCTCTGCCTGAAGATCTGCATCACTCCAGGAACTGGAGCGTCCCCTTCATGACTTGGCCCTTCGACTGGGTCACCATCAGTGTTTCCCCCTTCTGGGGTGTATCAATATTTAGGCCACTTCCCCAGTGGCTGATGGGGGAAACCCAGGCCCTCCCACTGCTCCTGGTCCTGACCCAGGGACCCTGTAGATAGCAACCTCCTGCTGTGACTCTTTAACTTCTCCCAATGCTGCTACGTTTCCCTGGGCCACTTCCCCACAGCCCCAATATCTCCTTCGCTCTCACCTCAGGGCCCCTCAGTCCCAGCAGCCAGCCAGGAGCTCCCTCTTGCTCCCCCAGTCCCTGCCAGCTCTGTCCAGGGTGCTACAGTTCCCTCAGACTGCTAGGACACAGTCCTCACTCCTTGAGCTCCCAGCAACCATTAACCTATTCTACCTTGTAGCTCCTCTTATATGGCCTTGTTGGACCCAGATTGGTTGCTCCCTGAAGCTCTTCTCTGATTGGCTGCACCCCAAGCAGCTGCTCTAGGCTGCTTGGAGGACTCACCTCCACTGCTTCACTCTGAGGCAGGGCATGGTAGGACCATGAAGCCTCCACTAACCCCTTCCACTCCTGTGTGGGGCAGACACCCCATCACCCTATACATACCCTAGTGGTTTCCTAAAACTTTCAAGCTGTTGGCAGCAACCCATTGGAGATGAGCTGATAAAATTGGGAAGGGATTAGTTAACTGTCTAAATTGAAAAAATCCAGCATTCCTTCCACAGATTCATTTAAATGGGAGCAGTGATTGAACCAGAACGCTCATGTGTCCCTGTCCAAGTGCCAGTATCCTGTCATGATTCTTTGTGCCTCATCCAATAGTCCCTAACATTCTACCCTCTAGCAGTATAAGGAAAATACCACTGCTTACTTTGAAATGAATTATTTCAAAGCATAGCATGGGGAGGAGGTGACCAGCCCTCTGTGGAGAAAGAAGTGATTCAGGACTATTTAGAAAAGCTGGATGAGCACAAGTCCACGGGGCCGGATGCGCTGCATCCGAAGGTGCTAAAGGAGTTGGCGGATGTGATTGCAGAGCCGTTGGCCACTATCTTTGAAAACTCATGGCGATCGGGGGAGGTCCCGGATGATTGGAAAAAGGCTAATGTGGTGCCCATCTTTAAAAAAGGGAAGGAGGAGGATCTGGGGAACTACAGGCCAGTCAGCCTCACTTGAGTCCCTGGAAAAATCATGGAGCCGGTCCTCAAGGAATCAATTCTGAAGCACTTAGAGGAGAGGAAAGTGATGAGGAACAGTCAGCATGGATTCACCAAGGGCACGTCATGCCTGACTAACCTAATTGCCTTCTATGACGGGATACCTGGCTCTGTGGATGAGGGGAAAGCAGTGGATGTGTTATTCCTTGACTTTAGCAAAGCTTTTGATACGGTTTCCCACAGTATTCTTGCCGGCAAGTTAAAGAAGTATGGGCTGGATGAATGGACTATAAGGTGGATAGAAAGCTGGCTAGATTGTCGGGCTCAACAGATAGTGATCAATGGCTCCATGTCTAATTGGCAGTCGTTATCAAGCGGAGTGCCCCAAGGGCCAGTCCTGAGGCCGGTTTTGTTCAATATCTTCATTAATGATCTGGAGGATGTCGTGGACTGCACCCTCAGCAAGTTTGAGGATGACACTAAACTGGGAGGAGTGGTAGATACGCTGGAGGGTAGGGATCGGATACAGAGGGACCTAGACAAATTAGAGGATTGGGCCAAAAAAAACCTGATGAGGTTCAACAAGGACAAGTGCAGAGTCCTGCACTTAGGACGGAAGAATCCTATGCACTGCTACAGTCTAGGGACCGAATGGCTAGGCAGCAGTTCTGCAGAAAAGGACGAAGGGGTTACAGTGGACGAGAAGCTGGATATGAGTCGACAGTGTGCCCTTGCTGCCAAGATGGCTAACGGCATTTTGGGCTGTATAAGTAGGGGCATTGCCAGCAGATCAAGGGACGTGATCATTCCCCTCTATTCGACATTGGTGAGGCCTCATCTGGAGTACTGTGTCCAGTTTTGGGCCCCACACTACAAGAAGGATGTGGAAAAATTGGAAAGAGTCCTGTGGCGGGCAACAAAAATGATTAGGGGGCTGGAGCACATGACTTATAAGGAGAGGCTGAGGGAACTGGGATTGTTTAGTCTGCAGAAGAGAAAAATGAGGGGGGATTTGATAGCTGCTTTCAACTACCTGAAAGGGGGTTCCAAAGAGGATGGATCTAGACTGTTCTCAGTGGTACCAGATGACAGAACAAGGAGTAATGGTCTCAAGTTGCAGTCGGGGAGGTTTAGGTTGGATATTAGGAAAAACTTTTTCACTAGGAGGGTGGTGAAACACTGGAATAGGTCACCTAGGGACGTGGTGGAATTTCCTTCCTTAGAGGTTTTTAAGGTCAGGCTTGACAAAGCCCTGGCTGGGATGATTTAGTTGGGGATTGGTCCTGCTTTGAGCAGGGGGTTGGACTAGATGACCTCCTGAGGTCCCTCCCAACCCTGATATTCTATGATTCTATTGGTCTGTGTCCCTGTGTGTGTTTTCTGGCAGTGATAAAAGCAAGAATCCTATCGGCTCATGACAAAGGAACCCATGCGGAAGTTGTAGTGAAGGTAAAGAAGGTCCTGAAATCAGGCAAAGTGAAAATTGCCCGGAGTAACAGAAGTATCTATCCGGAGTCCTGGACCAACAGGGGATGTACATGTCCCATTCTCAATCCTGGTAAGTATTAAATGCTTATGGCATGAATTCTGTGGCAAAAAGGCAATGTGGGTCGTTAAGGTATTAATGTTCCCAATTCTTATCTCACTTTCACTAACGTAAATCAGGAGTAACTCTATTGAAGCTAGTGAAATTGCATTGGAACCTTTGTGAGACCCACACTAGTTGACCATACTGCTGGAATAATCCATTGAGGAAAAGCTGGTCCAGTTAACATAAAGCGAATGAACGGATTAGCAGGGTAAACCTGGTACTCTTATTGGAGTATTAAAGAGAGAAACAGAATCGAGAAATCCTTTATTCAAACAGTTAGGGATGAACTATGCCTCCCCATGTGCTACAGGGGAGTGGGCACAGAGACCCATTCTCCCTTCGCTGCCCAAGCATCTGCACTGTGACCAGGCATAATCTGTTTCCCAGAGCTGGGGAGTGCAGGGCTGGGCAGCAGTTAGTCCTGCCAGCAGGTCTGGCAGCTTCAAACTGGTTCAGTGATGCCTTTCTGAGTTTGAAGACAGCCTGAAACAATAGCTGTGAGGTGTGACCTGCCCCATGCATCTTAATGTATTGGTACTTTGAAATGTAAAGCTCACAATTTGCAGCATATGGGAAACTCAATATATGGGGCTAACATACAATAAATGAATTTAATGTCACAATAAATGAGACAGGAGCTTTGGTGCTGATTGGATTATTCGTCTTTAGATTTAATTCAGTAAAAACATCCCTTTTAAACATTTCTCTGTAGCCACCGCAGAATTCCTACCAGAGTGCCATAGAATCTAGGGCAAAACTGCCATTGCATCCATGCCTTGCATCATATACAGTATGCACAGAGAAAATGAAATGCAATCTCACTGTTAACAATAATGCAGCCCTAGAATGTAAATAAATCCAGATCTGACATTTCAGTTAATTACTACATTAGATTTACGCTTGTGACTATACAGAAAAAGAGAGAGAGAGGTAGAGAGGGAGGTGTTGTCTAGTGGTTTACACACAGACTTTGGTCCAGGAACTCCTTGAATCCCATCTCACAATGACTCCCTCTGTGGGCATGAGAAACCCTCTGCCACAATTTCTTCACGTGTCAAGTGGAGCTAATGTTTATCAGAACTTATCTACTTCACAGGGGACTTTGAGGATTAATTAGTTAGGGCACAACTGTGAGCCTTCTGTGCACCTGCACAGGGGAGGGACTTTGTATGAACTAGTCACACCACCAGAGCTTATGATGTGGGGAGAGCAGCCGCTGCTAGCAGCTATTCCCCTCCCCCTCAGTAGGCAGGGAGGGAGTAGAGCCACCCCATACCTCTGAATACCACACCCAAGACGGCACAGAAGGGGAAGTAACATGTGCCAGCAAAAGGGCTGGTACATATTACTTCCCTGCAGGACAAGGGGGCAATAGGAACCAAATGATGACTTGGAGGCACAGGGTGATTCCTAGCCTGCTCCTGGAGCAGCACTGCACAACTTAATCTCTCCAATGCCACTTGAAGTTGAAAAGCACTTTGGCACTGATTTTTATTTTTCCCAGTGGGTGCTCCACCCCTACTCTGCCCAGAGGCCCAGCCCCCATTCCGCCCCTTCCCCCGAGACCCCGCCCTCGCTCTGCCTCTTCACGCCCCCACTCCACCTCCTCCCCTGAGGCCCAGCCCTTGCCCCGCCTCGTCCCACCCCTGCTCTGCTCCCTCCCGAGGCCCCGCCCTTGCTCTGACTCTTCCCGCCCCTGCTCCACCCCTTTCCCCCAAAGTCCCCCGCCCACCCACCACTCGCTGCTCTCCACCTTCCTCCAAGCACTTCCCACCAAACAGCTGATCAGTGGCTGGTGGGTGCTGAGCACCCACTATTTTTGGGGGGGGGGTGCTTGAGCCCCTGAGCGCCCACAGAGTTGGTGCCTATGCCAGATAGGTGCTAAGCAACGTTATTAGTAGCTGAAGGGATGGATTTTTAAGCAGAGTCCTCACTACTGCCTTCTTTCCCATCAAGCAATTTAGTGGACAGGAGACAGAAATACGTGTATTACCCCAGTTGAAATCCCATGTGGATAATTATGGGGAGATGAGCTATAGAGCCCATGTAAGTGCCTTTAACTGTGCTAATTGGAGTCTGGAAATATCTTTTGGACCCGGCTTCCTTTTTTTTCATCCAAGTAGGCAGCAAGGGCTTGATCCTGAGAGGTGATGAGCACCCACAGCTCCCATTCACTTCAGTAAAGGCTGCAGGTGTTCAGCACCACTTGGGATCAGGCCCTGAATGAGACAGGTAACTTGGTTTTCTTTAGGATGAACTAAACAGCATCCCCAAGGATCATGTTTCACTATTGTGCATTACACCACAGAGAGTGGGGACTTATCCACATTCTAAAACAAAAACTTGTTAGATAAGTTACCCTATGTGTTTTCCTCTGAATAGATTAAACACACTTCCGCACTGAGTGAAAGAATTCCTTGTATTTGCTCTGAAATCTAAGGCTTACCCTGACCTCTGAGGCAAGTTCTCATCTGAAATCAGCCACATACAAAAGAGCCAATTGTTCTGGGGTTGGCTGAGTCCAGTCAAATCCAGTGTGAATTCTTCCAGCCAACCCAAAATGATTTGTGCCCTCTCAAAAATGATTTGGGTCTTGCATCGTCTGTACCACCAGGTGAGGACTTGGGTTTGAATTTGCAGGGATGCAGTATATGGTCTCTGAGAGCTGTACTTCAGCAATGTAACTCAAACTTGGTCAAATACATTTTGCTGACTGTGGTGCAAATGGTTATGGTATTCTCTTACACTTCCTGTCCTACATTCTTTTATGGTATAGCTGTGGACCACTAAACAGCTGCTGGGCTCCCCGCCCAGCAGTTGGAGCTGTAGGTCAGGGTGGGTGAAGTATGTGTTTAATATAGGGTTAGACTGTGGTTGACCCTTCACAGGAGCTCAAGGAGGGGAGAGGGCATAAGAAGTCCTGCCCCCTTGTCTCTCTTTAGCTGTTAGGAGTATGGGGCCCATGAAACACTATTGTGCAGGTCTGACGCTAGCCAGTGTCCCTGCAGTGGTGCACCTGCACACTAGCCAGTTCTTCACCATACAAACTAGATTCTCGTCACAAAATGATGCACTAGATTCACAAGTGGTGTAAATCAGCATAGTTCTATTGACGTCAGGTTTCTATGCCTTTTTCTACCCACTGAGAATTTCACTGTTGAGATCCCTGCTTTTATTCGCAGGGCCGGTTCCAGGCACCAGTAGGGCTACCATATTTCCACAAACAAAAAAGAGGACACTGGGGGGGGGG